TTTAGTCGGCATACATAGATCTGTCAGGGCGATGTATATATATATATATATATATATATATTCTCATGATGAAAAATTATCAAAATACTTTTGAAAATTGTGGGGGCATTTTAGTCATTTATTTGTTTCTTATTTTTTCCAGGTTCGCCCTAATTTTATTTTATGATGGGACGTCCAAAATTTCATTCAAAAATGTTTTATAGAAAAAAAAAAAAGAGAAATAAAACAATGTTTGTCGTGATATTGTGGTATGAACAATCGTAGTCATTCGATTTAAATCGAACGGTTAAAAAGTGGGGTCACATATAACTTGTTGTTCGGGTCACATAGAAACATTTCCCTTTAAGTATCTCTACTTTGTCTTTTTCTTTTTCTTTTTGTAAATTCACAACCATTTCCAATCTTATTCTTCATCTCCTCCTTCCTGCTAACTACTGTTCCCAATCTTTTGCCTCCAGTTGCCTAATGCCCAAGTCGCATTTGTTGCCCGTTCATGTCTCGTTATCCTTCAATATATGAAATCCACTTATTGAAAGAGTTGCGTAGGATATATGAGTGTGCTGCATGCTGAGTAATAATCCTATGTGACCCTTCCAAACTCATGTGTGTAGGATCTCAAATGATTACCATTAAATTTGGTACAGATATCTAAAAAAGTTATCACATAGGTGAAAGACTTAACTTTCTAAATATATGTGCGAAAATTTAATGGTGATCTTTTGAGATCCTGTACACATGGATGTGGAAGGATCTCATAAAATCATTACTCATACTTTTATTATTACAGTATTTCCTTTTAGTTAAGTGGAATTCTATGAACTATTTTGTTTAAGGAAAAGTTTTCATGCTCCCATTGGAGCAAATTGTGCACTAGCTCCACCACCGAAACATTGCATTGAGGTGATTTCTTTGACCCCAAAACTTCCAAATTATCTTTATTCATCTCTAAGATCAATCTAAAATAAAATTGACTTTTGAGTCCAAAACATGCTCGACTTAAATGCCCACTCCATCATTAACTCTAGGTGGTCCATTTGACGAACGATAGTGTATAGGTGTGTACGTGCTTGAATTCATATTTCTTTTTCTGAAATTGTTCGAGGTGAACAAAAGATAGGGGTATGGTATCAAATTAAAGTGCATCTTCAAATTTTATCATAAATATAATTTTGATGTAAAAAATTATTAGGACAGCTTGAGAATCTATTTTCATCTTTAATTATAAAATCTTGAGCTCAAAAAATAGTCCAAATCAAGTAGATCTATTAACACTTGAAAATCTTGAAAATTGATGGTTCAGATAATGGGTTGCATGATACATTATTTTTAGGACTCGAAATCCTTTTTTTGTTTTATATTCAAATATCTCTATGTCAAGATAATTAATTAGAGGGTTTTCCAACATCAAACAACTTTTTATGATGGATTTTAGATGTGCATCTTAATTTTACATTTTAAGGTTGTAACCTTATATAAACTTTTTCCTAAGATAACTTAAAATAAATATCAAATGCCCCTAACTTGGTTTTTGGAGTGTGGGGTTCCGGCTGGACCCAGACCCAAACCCGAATAGATTCAGATCCAGGTTTTGGACTCGAACCTGACTTGTCAAGTCAAAAAATTGGACTCACAACCATACCCGTCGCGTCTCAGGTCTAGTCTCAGGTCCATTGTCACCCTCACTATGAGCATCTTTTTTTTCTTTTCTTTTTTTGCCATTTTTTTTACCATCATATGCTCATATTATTGGCAATAAGGTCACAATCTCCCGCTATTAGATTTCAAGCCATGTGATTTGTCGTTTAATAGCTAAAGATGACTATTAGTTCGAATTATATACGATAATACACCCAAATAAATAGGGCTTAAAATAAAGTATTTTAGCTCAAACAGTTTTTTACGGGTTTTTTATTTGTTATCTTAATTTACTTCCTAAAAACATTTCAATGGCGCTAATCAGATGGTATCAAATAGTCACTCATATTTTTTATGATTTGTGTAAACCCAGTAGCCAGATAGCCCCTCAGTATGTCTAAAGAGCATGAAGATGGGATTGACAACAACCACCCATCTACATCCACCAAGCTGGCAAAAAAAAAATTACAAAAAAACCAATCAACTTTTTTAAAAAAAATGAAATGAGTTTATTTGTGAAAAAAAATGAGGTATTTGTTACATAGTTCGACCAAATCTAAAAAGGTGAGAATATTGAGAGTCCAATTCCTATATATGTACCACACATTTATTTCAAAAGTCTAAAATGCAGTAAATATGTAAAAGAAACAAAAAATTAAAAAAAAACAATAAAATCTAATCCCTACCTAAAAAAAATACAACAATAAAATCCTAACCCAAATATTATTAAAAAAAGTAACTACATTTACATATGAGAGACTAGAAAAAAAAAAATCATAGTTACAAAAAATTTCATATTTTGTTGAATATTGTCAAGGAAGCCCTAAGTAAAGAAAATTTTTAAATAAATAAAAATATTATTAAAAAACTATCCAAACCCCCATCCAACAGAAACTAGAACATTAAAAAATTTCTAATTTACGATTTTTTTAAATTCCTTGGAAAAAATGAAATGCAAATATTACTACAATTTGTCTAAACCCCAAGCTAAGACAACCTAGAATCTATATATATATATATATATATATATATATATCTCGTGTAAACTTTTTTATTCCGTGAACTTTTTGAGAGATAATCTAAACAAAAAACAAAATAAATACATAAATGAAATATTATCGAAATTAATCTATCTACCCAATACAACCAAGAAAAAAGTATTCAAAAAATAACTTTTAAGAAACAAAAAACCAGTAAAAATATAGAAAAATACATAAGATCATGTATTCGAATTGATAATAATCATTTCATATTATACAATCTATAAATCAAAGATGAAATAATAAAAACTTAAATTAGAACAACCTTTGCAAAGAGAAATGGCAGAAAAATAGCTGAAAAGTAACACAATTCGATTACAGATATATTTGGTTTTGAATCAAAAGACTTTGTTAGATCTTTTCCTAGATAGATGCGTTAGAAACATTTTGAGAAGAATTTGATGAATTTAATGAGAAAATGAGAGAAATCAAATATTTTTTTTATTTCGATTAAAAAGGGCTAGAATTTGGCTCTTAATTTCTTTAATTTTGCACTTTAATGCAACAAAATGCTGTAAGATTTTGACAGAGATCTCGAATATGAATAAATTGGTATAGGTATCAAAGTATTTGGTTGAGAAATGGGAGAGAACTTTGTAAAATGGCGGTTTGATTGGCGCAATAACCTATTGAAACGAGGCTGATTAAACCTTTGATTAATAATCAAGCTAAAAAGTCTAAAAATATGGGGCTTAAAAAAGGTGTTTTTTGAAACTATTTTATGTGAAACAAGGGATCAATTCCAGGCGGGACCCACTCAGTTCCCCAAGTTTGACATTGATCGGGATCAATTCCAGGCGGGACCCACTCAGTTCCCCAAGTTTGACATTGATGGTTTTGAGTCGGCCCAACGGTTTTTAAAACATGGAAAAAATTTATATAAGGATGCAACCTTATAATGTAGAACTACGGATGCACGTCAAAAATCCATCGAAAAAGGTAGTTTTATTGTTAAAAACCTTTTGATTGATCATCGAGATGTATGACCATCAAAAATAAAAAGATTTTAAGTCTTAGAAATAGTGCATTTTATAACGTATTATCTATACCGTCCATTTTCAAGATTTTCATATTTTTATATATCTACTTGATTTTAACCATTTTTTAAATTTAAAATTTTATAATTAGATATAAAAATAGATTTTAATGTAATCCTAAGAAAATTTTACATCAAAATTATATATCGTGATAAAATTTAAAGGTGCACCTTACCTCTACAGCTACAGATGCATCCGTACTGCACCCTTAAAACATTGCTCAAAAGAAAAGGCAACTCTATTATCCTACAAAATCTTCTTGTTCAAAATATGTATGATTATAAATCCAATGTTCCATTTTGTGGTATCCTCAGGATAAATTTGTTGAGGGGATCTATGCTCTTCATCTAAGGGCTGAAACCTCTCATTTATTTATGTACTCTCTCTTTTTCTGCCCTCATTTGACTCACTCTAAACAATAAGGGAATGTTTCTATGTGAATTGTATGTGATCTCATTTCTTAGCCGTTCGATCTGAATTTAATTACTACAATTGTTCATACCACAATACCATGCCAAACACTGTTTTACTTTTCTTTTCTTTTTTTTTGATGAAATTTGGGGTCCCATGAATCTGGGAAAAAATAAGAACAAATATTTTATAAAATAAATGGCCAAAATGGCCCTATAATTTTCAGAGGTATTTTGACAATTTTTTATCATCAAAAATATTTTATTATTACTTTATCATGT